CGCGGCAAGCCACTCCCATCCGATCACATGCGCGGCAAGCCACTCCCACAAATGAGGCCACACCCACAGAGTAGGTTCGAACAATGTTTGAAACCCACCACTGGCGCACACACGTGTTTTTGGCACTCGTCGCCAAAAAGGTTAGCCATCACTGGTATAGGATGCGATTCCTCATAGCTTCCCTCTCCCCCATATATATATCTGTTGTATGATTCAACCTCATCCAATCCTTCAAAGGTTAAGGGGCAGGTGACACTCATGTTACTTGCTGTCTTGGCTTATCGAAGGAAACACTTCTGTTTTAAAGATATACTCTAAAACAGTAGCCCCCAACTTTTTGGGCACAAGGGTTCTGGTTCTGTTTTCATGGACTGGGGGGCATGGTTTCATGCGCTGCCTGGATCTCATGCATGCGCGGATGGGGCTTCACTCACTTGTTCATAACGGTTCCTGGCAGGCCGCAGACCGGTGCTGGTTCATAGCCCGGGGGTTTGGGACCCCTGCTTTAAAATCTTCATCCTATGCAAAAAAGCTCCAGAGCAAGTATAATTTAAACTACTAACATAAATGAACAGCTACTATAGCATTGAAATCTTAACTTTGTTAAAAATGGAAACAACCGAAGTACCTTTATGCTTGTTTTTCAGTAAAAATAAAAAGTATCCTGAAGGGTTTTACCATTGTCACAAAGGTAAACTACATTTAATTTTGTGACAGTCTGACTTTAACAAAGCAGCTAAATCTAACAAGAAATAGCATGAGCCTTCCTTTGTTTTTTTTCTTTTAATAAAGGACCTTTAACAAAAAAAAAGAGAAGTTGTTTTTTGAGAATATAAAAAAAAAATCTATTGAAACAAGAAAAAAAAAAAAAACTCCGCATTTTGGAAATTCTCTTTACAATCCTGCTAAACAAAGAAATATATCACTTTTCCAGTCTCTCTTCTAAGAACTAATTGGATAGGATAGAGAGGAACAAGGGAGAAATTATTAGCAATGTATTTACAATTTTAATCTTTTCATCATCATTATCATCATCACAGAACAGAGTTGTTCTTTCTGGTTGGTTCATTTAGAAAGAGTTACAACTTACGCCAGTAGTAAAATCAGTAAACAAAAATTTTACTGAAATAGTTCAATAACACAGATACGGGATTTTTGTTTTAAGTGTAAAGCTAATGTCATACATGAGAAAAATGGACAGAACTTTTTTCCCTCCCCCCCACCCCCAAGACTAATATGGGTACAATAAATATGGAGTTGTACATAACTGAATCTGTACATACAAACTTCGCCCCACAGCCATAAAAATCTACATTTAACAGTGCAACATATAATTTAATCATTTCATTTGACATAAGATTGTTTTACTTACGAAACAAAAGTAACTACCCAGGTTTTAATGTACATATAATATATAATTTTGACAATCTGTACAGTTTTCTAAACATAAAACACAAAAAAGGCACAATTGTCTATACAACATGTACAAAAAAAATGGCCGGAGCTGACAAGGAAACGACAATTATTGGTCAAGAGTTCATGATTGCACAAAGATTAGTAATGAGTTTGTGTCAGAAAATATGTGCTTTAAGTAAAAGGGAGGTTTGCAAAGAAACCTAGTTAAGTGTTACTTTAAAAAAAAAACATACACACGAAACGAAACACCCGTAACCCCACACACAACTCAACAGGAAACCAAAACACCCTAGGTTGCAATTATTAGTCTGTCCTCATCATCACTGCTGCCATCGCTCAAGTCAAGCTTGGGCAATCTTTTTGGCCGATGGAATTCTTTATCCTGAAGGACCATCTGATGTCTGGGGGAACTGGATAAAATGTCTGGATTCACTTTTGCAGGAGGCTCCGACCCAGAAGGCTGTCCCACCTGAACAGCACTAATATTGCACTTTGGTTTTTTGGGACTCTCCAAGTCAGAACTTTCAAAGTCCGGATTATCCGGGATATCACGTCGTCGATAGTCCCTTGCAGGGCCCACTTCCAATCGATTTTCCATGCCGTACCGCTTGTCAGCAAGTGCCTTCTGAGAAGATGGAGCACTGGCAATCTGAGCAGGGTCTGGAGTAGCTAAGCTTCCAGAACCCTGGAGTTGGAACGTTTCACAAGTGTTATTTCTGGAGGCTGGTGCTTCTACAATCCCCTGATCATCTGCAGTCTTAGGGCTCACCGGAGAAGCTAAAGTTGGCAGTGCTATGTTTAATATTTGCAGGCCCGGAATGTGTGCCTGAGGACTAGAGGTGCGCTGGGAGGAAGGGTTTGCAGTCAACACTTGTAACCCTACGGCGTTGAGCGTTAATCCCGAATGATGTATCTGTGGTGCTAGGCCGGTGCCAGCCAGGCCTAAGATATTCACCGTTTCCATGCTCAGGGATGGAAGAGGCTGCAGGGCTGGTGTACTCAGACTCTGGATGCCCGGCACATTAATTTGGCCAATAGGGATACAGGGAACCACGCTGTTCACTTCTGCTATACCAAGGTGATTTGCAGTGCTGGAGACTGCATAGGCTGGATCGCTGAGAGCACTTGTAGTTCTGTGAATCACGCTGACAGCAGGAATAGTGAGCTGCACTGGCCCAGCTGGAATGGGTAGAAAAGTAGAGTAGGTGGCTAAGCCAGCAGGTACCACGTGGATCCCCCCCACTGGAACCACTCCATAGGGACTCTTGGTTTGTTGTTGAGAATGCAAGGGGAGGTGGCTAAACAGATGAGTCTGGGGAGGTCCTAATTTCATGGTCTGTTGGTGTTCTCCATGTTTTTGCTCTTGCGTCTCTGCAAAAGGGGATGCCACTGAAGGAACAACAACAGTAGTTTGTGTACTCTGGTCTGTGGGTATAGAAGGAAGTCTAGTAGAAGCTGTGCTCTGCCCAAGAAAAGAGAAAACACGAGAAAGGTGTTTACGGTAATAATTCTGAAATACGGCCCTGCTAGTTCCTTCTTAGGCTGAAACGCAATAGCAATAGCAGTTAGACTTATATACCGCTTCATAGGGCTTTCAGCCCTCTCTAAGCGGTTTACAGAGTCAGCATATTGCCGCTAACAACAATCCGGGTCCTCATTTTACCCACCTCGGGAGGATGGAAGGCTGAGTCAACCCTGAGCCGGTGAGATTTGAACAGCCGAACAGCAGAACTGCAGTCAGCTGAAGTAGCCTGCAGTGCTGCACTCTAACCACTGCGCCACCTCGGCTCTGTTTTCCCCAATTCAAAATCATTCACATCCAAGTAGTAGAATATAGCATGTCCAGAAAGTGATATGCATCTTAGTCCTCGGGGGGGCTACACGAAAGCAACTTGAATGTGAATATTGAAAATAGGATTCTTCAACCCTACATTTTCAAATCCCTCAACCAGTTTGAGCAGAAAAACTGGAAACAAGAATTTCTGTACACCTGATGGATATTACTCCTCAATTCAGCCATTAAGAGAAAGGATGCAAGTTATATCAGTGTTACATTTTCAAAAATAAATCCTATACATTTTGTTGCGCCAAAGGTACACAACATGCAGTCTAATTTTCCAATTTTGTAGTGACTTGTTTTTTTGGAAATGCCCAGATCAGCATGGTTAATATCTACAGTATATCCAAAAAAAAACAACCCCATAATTATGCCAATAAAACAAGAAGCACTGTCTACTTTCCCTGCAATAAATTCTGGAATTTAAAAAAAACAACACCACCTTTTTCTCTCACCTTCAAAGTTGCTGTAGTACTAATAGAAGGAGTGTTGCTTCCTAAGACTTCTTTGGCACCTGGGAAATCCACATACATCTGATGACATGATGACCGATGAAATGTTTCTGAAGACACAGCAGGTTCTGTGCTTGTTGCCCTGTCTTGAACGCTTTCCTTTTTTGCTTCTCTGGAAATAGCTGCTGATGTTGGCCCTGAGTTCCTGCAGTCCAAGTGCCCTGTATGAAGTACTGTCATTTTTGTGAGAAGTGCTTTTGGCAGGCCATCCGCAGAGTCTATGTGAACCTCAGCAAAAGAATCCGAAACTCTGCTTTCTTCATCAGCGCTTGAAACCTCATGAGAAGCATTTCTGGAGGGGTGATGCTGTGGGCTGGCTGAAACAGAAGGAGTAGCAGATAAAACGGATTCTGCTTGGCTATCTTCATCGTCATCTTCGTTATCATTGTCTTCATCTTCCGGCCCATCTGAATCCTCTGGGTCAAATCCAGACTGTTCATAATTCAGCCGTTGCTTTTCACCTGTGAAAGAGAACAAAATTAAATTCCCCTCTAACAACCCAGCAGAGGAGATTCCTTGCACTGCATTTAACTTTCCTTTTCTGAACATTAACTTCATGCAAGTAAAGGGAAGTATATGCAGAAATCCCTATGAAACCTCCCTCCCCCCCCCCCCCTCCCAGCAGTGGTGGGTTTCAAAAATTGTTGGAACCTACTCTGTGGGTGTGGCCTCCTTTGTGGGAGTGGCTTGCCA